TCATATGCAGAATGTAGAGCAAAATAAAGGAAAGGGGAGGGAAGGATAAGATAATGAACGTAAAGAACCAATCAAATACAAACTAATAGATGAGCAAAAGGAAGTCTAGTAGTGGAAGGAGAAGGGGAGAGCAGAGTCTCCCCATTTTTCTCTTCATTTATTTTTTACTTCTTATTCTCACAATGCCTGGAACATAATCAATTGTTAATGAATACTTATTGAAAAAATAAATGTTAAGCACTGCATCCCACTCTTGGATTATCACAAGTGGGATTCCAACTCTTATTTAGACTAATGCCTCATTTATGTTGTTTATATTAAACCTTATCAAACCACTATTTTGACCACTCTTTCTCTTATAAGAACTGTAATTATGCCAGGTGCAGTGGTCCGTGCCTGTAATCCCAGTGGCTCAGGAGGCTGAGGCAGGAGGATCGTGAGCTCAAAGCCAGCCTCAGCAAAAGCAAGGGACTAAGCACCTCAGTGAGACCCTGTCTCTAAATAAAATACAAAACATGGCTGGGGATATGGCTCAGTGGTCAAGTGCCCCTGTGTTCAATCCCAGGAACCAAAAAAAAAAAAAAAAAAAAAAAAAAAAAAAAAAAAAAAAAAAAAAAAAAAAAAAGAAAAAAGAACTATAATTACTCTTTGTTCTTAATTCCTACACAACTTTCAAGACTCTTTGACAGTCTAGCTAGCAAATCAGCCTTAGAGTACCAGAGTATTGACGTTTACTTTCCATTCAGTTGAACCTATTCAGCAATAATGTATTTAGAATATATATACACTAGTTATATATATATTTTGTAGTTGAACACAATACCTCTTTATTTTATTCATTTATTTTTATGTGGTGCTGAGGATAGAACCTAGTGCCTCACACATGCTAGGCGAGCATTCTACTGGTGAGCCACAACCCCAGCCCCAGCAATGTATTTTTTAATGCACCACCAATGCCACTGTTATTCTACCCAATGAATGCATAACACTGATGTGATCAACCTCTAAAATGTTGATGCACATGATGAGAAACCTAACAAAATAATGAATAGGTTTTGATAATGTCCTGTCCTAAGAAAGCAACCAAATATACTTTTTTTTAAAACCAAAATCAAATATATTTTTAACATACCTTTTAATGTTTAAAAATACTGAGAACCATAGAGGAATACTATCTATTTAAAAAGTTACTTAAAAAATCTGTCTGTAAAAAAGAAAAGATAATTATGAACAGGAAGAGCCAACAGGTCACCACCCATATTAAGATGTAGGGTTGTGCATAAAACAACATATGTATTTTTAAAAAATATTTTGACCATACTCAAATTTTCAACTAAAACCAATACACAAAAAATATCCAACTCCACGGTATTACAGAATCCACATACTTAGGTCTCATCTGACCTATGAATGCTGAGAAAGCTTTTGTTGCTCAAGAGCTGATGTACATTAAAACAAGACAAATTATTTTTCACCTATTTTTAATAAATGTATCTGAGCACACACACTGTGGCATTCCATCAGTAGCAGAGTGGTCCGAATTTAGGAACTACCCAGGTTACACAGTAATGGCTAATCACACTGTCTTTGTAGAAGGAACTTCAGAAACTAATTTCTTTTTCATTTATGAAACTAGGAAGTTTGAACTCTGGGTCACAAAATACTCTGGTCCACTGTCTTTTAAACAAAAGATTTTCTTCAGTCACTATTTAAAAAAAAATCCATTACTCGTTGATGGACAGCTCCTTTCAGTCCCTACCTGGCAAAACTCACATCCGGTTTCAAGGTGTGCTGAGGGGAGTCCGTCCATGGGAAGGCCACCAGCTACTTCCCACCCGGGCCTCTTCCTCACTTTCCCCTTCCCAGGCCAAGCCAGCTTCCCTACCTGCCATCTAGACCCTGCTTTCACCGTGCAGACATCCCAAATGCTGTGGGCCTGGCTCTTAGTCTTGGCGGTGGTTTGTTTTTGCTGAACCCAGGGCCTCAAGTGCACTAGGCAACCCCCCAGTCCCCAGTGCATTTAAACTGTACAGTTTTTTTTTAAATTATTCATATGTTTTCTTTTTAGTTGTGGATGGGTCTTTATTTATTTTTATGCCATGCTGAGAATCGAACCCAGCGCCTCACCTGAGCCAGGCAGGTGCTCTGCCATTGAGCCCCAGCCCCAGCCCCAGCCCCGCACATAGGTTTTAACAGGATAGTCCAAATAAACAAATCTGTTATTTAAACAGCGCGGGGGGCAGAATCTCCTGTGGCCTAATGGAGGGAGGCGTCCTGGAGCAGGGCGGGCCCCCTTCTGCAGACCCAGGACCCTGCCGGGAGCGCCCATGTGACTGACGCGCCAGGTCCCCGGGATGTCCACCCCGGCCTCTGGCAGCTAGCGCTGCCTGGACCCTGGACAGCACCAAGACTGGCTCCTGCTCTGGGCCCCTTCCTGGGACCAGGCCTGCCTCTGGCTCTGGCTTCTGTGTTCACCGCTGCTAAGCCAGCAGCCGAGAAGTTCCCCTCTTGAGAGGCCTTTCCACGGGTTCCCTCTCCTGCAGAGGCCCGGCTCTGCATAGGGTGTTGGACGGCATTTGGGATGTAAGTCTCAGGAACTATTTCAAGATTAAAATATATTCTCTAACCTCAATGGAATTATATTGTAAATCCATAAATTAAAGATATTCCAAAAGTCTCCCAACATTGAACGATACATTTCAAAATAGTTCACATGCTTGTGTGCATTTTCCCGTAATAAAAATACTTTTTCTTTTTTTCCATGTTTTTATTGGTGCACTATGGTTGCACATAATGGTGGTACCTGTCATCACTTATCTGTACATGCACACAATATAACCATGTAATTTGGCCAATATCATTCCCCAGTATTTCCCTTTCCCTCCTCTCCTCCCTCCCCCGGTCCCTCTCCCCTACTCAACTGACCTCCCTTTAGTTTTCATGAGATCCCCCACCTTTCTTTTCCTTTTTGCTCCAGCTTCCACATACATATGAGAGAAAACATGCAATCCTTGACCTTATGAATCTGGCTTATTTTCCTTAACGTAATGTTGTCAAGTTCCATCCATCTTCCTGCATATGACCTCATTTTATTCAACTCCACTATGGGATACCACATTTCCCTATCCATTCATCCACTGATGGACACCTAGGCTGGTTCCACTGTTTAGTTATTGTGAATCATGCTGCTATAAATATGGGCATGTATGCTTTAATCATTCAAATACTTAAGAAATTTAAAACATACTTCTAAATAATCTATGAGTCAAAATGTTCAAAAACAACATGCCCAAAATGAATAGTAAGAACAACAGTTCCACGTTGGGCATTGCAGCTACACGCAGTGGCACATGCCCATAATCCTAGCAGCTCAGGAGGCTGAGGCAGGAGGATCACAAGTTCAAAGCTAGCCTCAGCAAAAAGTGAAGCACTAAGCAATTCAGTTAGGCCCTGTCTCTAAATAAAATCCAAAATCAGATTGGGGATGTGGCTCAGTGGTCAAGCGCCCCTGAGTTCAATCCCTAGTACTCACCTCCCCCTCCCCCACACACACACAAAAAAAAACCAAGTTGGGCACGGAAGTACATGCCTGTAATTCCAGCCAACCTGGAGGCAGAGGCAGGAGGATTACAAGTTTTAAGGCCAGTCTCAGAAACCTGGTGAAACTTTGCTCAAATTTTTTAAAAAGGGCTGGAGATATAGTACTTCAGTGATAAGAGTAACTATGGATTCAATCCTCAATAGCACCACCAAAATAACAACAACAATAGAAACAACATCAGATTTTGCCAGATATAGCTATACTTAAAGAAGAATTTAAAAAACAATTTTTTTGTACTCGTAGATAGACAGCATGCCTTTATTTTATCAGTTTATTTTTATGTGGTGCTAAGGATCAAACCTAGTGCCTCACACATGCTAGGCAAGCGCTCTGCCACTAAGCTACAGCCCCAGTACTTAATGGGGAATTTAGAGCTTTAAATGCCTATGTAAAATGAAGAAAAGTTTATTAATGAATCACATAGGTGTCTAATTTAGAAAATAGAAATAAGAGCAAATTAAACCTGAAGTAAGTAGAAAAGAAGAAACAGAGCAGAAATGGCTGACACAGAAAGGGAAGTACTGAGAAGATAACATTGTAGCAAGAAACACCTCACTGCAGTTTCAATGTGCATCTTCCTGATTCATAGGAAGGGTGTTTCCCACTTGCCTAACAGCCACCTGGAATACCACTTTTGCAAAACTCCATGCAAATCTTTAGCCCAATTTTTAATGGAACAGCATGTTTTTTATTATTCAATTTGCTTATTGAATCATAAAACTTTTTTTACACATTTTGGAAATCTTTTTAAAAAATGTTTTAGTTGTAGATGAACACAATACCTTTATTTATTTATTTTTATGTGGTGCTAAGGATCCAATCCAGTGCCTCACAGATGCTAGGCAAGTGCTCTACCGCTGAGCCACACCCCCAGCCCCTGGAAATCATTTTTGACTGTATACATTCCAAATATATTCTCTTGACTTCTAAATTATCTACCTTTCTTGTGGAATTCCTTAATGAATATAATCATTCTGAATATCAAACTCATAAGTAACCTCCTTTGTTTGTATATTTATGGGAGAAAAAGCCTTCTCTGTCCCTACATCACTGAGATATTTTCTTAGAAAAGTCGTTTAATCTTTCACATTTGGATTTCTAACCCATCTAGAACTGACGTGACTATGGTTTGAGGCAGGGCTCACATTTTGTTTTCTTTCTTACCGACTTGAGACCCCTCTCAGGAGGGTGTTCTTTACCCACTGTTCTGCAACGTACTCAGGGTCTACATATGAGTAAGCTCTTCTTGGTTGTCTACTTGCTCAGATTATTTATACAAGCCATCCCAACAGCTCATTATTTTAATGATCACAGCTCTGTAGAAAGTCTTGACGTCTAGTAGAGCAAGCTAAACTTTTGATTTTTCTTTGAGGTATCTCTACTACTTTTATCCTTTCAGCCTTCCATAGAAACTATGGAATCAGTTCCTCAGATGAAAGGGAGGGAGGAGGAGGAAGAAAAGAAAACTGAGGACTGCCGTGAATTTCTAGAGCAAGACACTGGGCTCCGATGTCTTTAGGATACTGATTTGTTCCATCCATGAAGACAGCGTCCCTGTTCAGATCTCTTAATATCCTTTTAATAAAGTTTTACAATGCTCTCCACAAGGATCTTGCACATTTTTTTATGACCCATATGTCTTGATGCTATTTTTTTATTTTTAAAAAGTCACATTTTTTTAGTTATAGATGGATATAATACCTTTATTTTATTTATTCATTTTTATGTGGTGCTGAGGATGGAATCCAGAGCTTCAGGCATGCTAGGCAAGTGCTCTGCCACTGAGCCACAACCCTAGCCCGCTTCTATTTTTTTAATCTAGCTAGCTTGGTACACATTAATAATTCTAAGACGTTCTTTTAAAATTTCTATGACTTTCTAAATAATTTATCCCTGCAAATTATGCTCCCTTTGGGATTCTTGTACCCTTTCTTCTTTTTCACGCCTTGCTCCACTGATGACCCGCATGTCACTGGGGAAGGCGGACACTCTCGGCCTCACCCTGTTCTTCAGGACGCCTGCCTTCAAAGTCATTTTCTAATGGTAACTTGGCCTCACATTCCTGAAGTAAACAATTAATAAACTTAGATTTC